CTGTCAGAAAGAATCAGCTATACTGGTCCGTCTACAGTTGTTCTGAATTATCACATTGTAGAACCAGATGGTAACGGGACTCCAGCATTTTCAGGTCAACTGCCTCCGTTTACATTTCCATGTTGTTAACATCTTGTTTAACATCTAAAGTCACAAGACATAAAATTCTTGGTCAAGAAGTTATTTGCAAAGTTCTGATTGATCAAGTGTTTTAACTAAGTACAGTTGAGTGATTATGGCCAAAAAATAAAATCGCAATCTTTTTGCACATAATGGATGATTACGATTTTAATCTATTTTAATTAAAGTCAGAGCAAGGACAGCTGTTTTTTCAAACAGTGGAGGCTCCATAATCTATTATTCAAGAAATTGTAAACTGCCTTAAAACCAGTCGTTCAAACTGATTTGATTAATTGCTCAGCCCTACCTTAAGGTTGTAATTCTCAACACAACTCTCATATTCCTCCTAACTAAGCATTCAAGTCACAACACAGGTCTGAGAAATAAATAGATATGTGACATTAAGAATAAAAATACAGCATGCAAAAAACGAGTTACGTAATAAAGCATTCTGTCAAGCACAAACCTTATGTTCACTCTTAAGTCACAATATCAAATTTTAATGTTACAATAAGTGTTAAAAAAGATCACAATTTAATGATTATTCAGAATTACTGACACCATGACCATGAATCTTACTTTTCTTTCATTCCCAGTATTTAATTACATCTCTATTTCTTTAGTATACAACTAGCTTTATGAAACTAAACTCCTAAAAGCAGCCATCTCAAATAAGTACTGTACAATTAGTATTACTTTTTTGTAACATTGAATTGAAAAACGTTTTTGTTTCTGAAATTGTCTATTTTTATTTGTTATGATTCTTACAATTACATTTTGACCCGATTATTGCTATCCCTGCTTTCAAGCGACAAGAGAAGAAAAACCCTGAAGTTTGCTATAACACACTCAGTTCAGTCTTCTGTATTCTGTTAGCAAGAGATTAGATTTGCTGGGTAATACCATTGCCATTATTAATAGTCAAAGTTATCTATGGACAACAGAATACAATTTTGCCCAGGACCAAGAGGACTTGTCTTCAGAACATTAGGCAACAGGAAAAATGTGAAAACTTTTAATATCATAGGCACGTCTTCATAGTTACTCGTGCAATAGTCAAGTTTGTGCTTGCTCACCGAGGTGTCCGGCCAGTAGGGCCTGTGGTCTCTGTGCTGGAATACAGAGCAGTAGAATAATGGATGCTTGTGTCATGAGATACACTGAAACTCTATGATGCTGGAGGTGAGAGAGACTCCAAGTGGGTCTGTAAATAATGCCTGCCACTTGAAAATAGGTCTCTGGAAACTGCCCCCTAAGCTCTTGTTGCTGGTTCTGGGGAAGTTGTATTTCTAGTAGTGGAGCCTAGCAGCTTATGACAGTCAGATGGAAAAGCATTAACACAATACAGCAAGATTTGGATTTAAGGTTCACAATGAGATTTTTATTAATTTATGTTTTTTTTTGTTTTTTTAGATGGCTTTATAAGTGAGGCAAGGGGGGTGTCTACAGCACTCCCTTTGTGTTAATCATATTCTTTTTAGCAACCATCAAAACAACATTATTGGTCTGTAAATTTGTTTCAAGGTTTTGTAATATAATATATAATATTATGTAATAATAACAATAATAACAACAATAATAATAATATGTGGGTGTGTCTACGATACTTGATGACTGTGGATCCAAAACTTCTTTTATGTATTGAATTACACAAATACAGTTTGGGACATTCCCAAAATAAGTGACTGATAAGATGTTGTAAGACTTTTATAGTTAGACTGAAGTTACGCATCAAGTCATGCAGTGCGTCTCCTCCCCATGAAAACACTCACACCAGGTAGAGACCAGAGGGACAAAGGCCAGGCCGCAGTGGAGCGAGGCTATACCAAAGACCTGACATGCACTCGTCCTTCACTCTGACTCATGCTTAGTCGCCCGCCACCCACCGACATAGTCAAACCTCAGTCCCAATGCCAGGTTTTGTCACTGGGCAGAGAAGCAGTTGGCTACAGTAAAAGCATGACGTGATGCCCCTTCCTCTGTGCTCCCCCAGCCTGTGCAGCAACAGAGAAGTAAAAATATCCCACCAGTGAGTTCAGACAACCAGCTCATAAATTAACACTAAAACTCCTGCAGACAACAGTGGGCCAGTCGCTGAGAGATTTAAACCACTCAGGTTGCCACCGACCACAGCGCCGAGATCAGCTTACAAAACCTTTTCCTAAATTTACCCATTAGGACCAGAAGGTGCTCTATCCATTTTCCTTTAAGTCACTATTAAGCTGACCACTAACATAGTGAGATATTCTTTTCTAAAATGGCTCTAGGGCGCTTTGTTGAAGGAAATGTTATGAGGTGAGATGCAGACAGAGGCCTACATTAGGCATAACAGAATGGTCTGTTCCTCTTTCTTAGCTAGCTTACACAAACATATAAAGTGTAAGCTTGGGCTCATCTCTTATTAAGGTTGCAGTAATGAAGAGCAATCTCTTGTCGGTCTCAAGTAGAAACACTATGTTCCAGCTAACTGCTCGACTGGGTCAAAAAAGAAGAAAAAACAACAGGAGAGAAGAGTGATGATCCCCTTAAAAGAAAGTCAGCTCTGTAATGGACGAACAGGGATTACAGACGTTAAAACCTTCTGCATCTGTAATTCACTGTCACCCTGCCATCATCTCTGAATCACTGATCCATTTTGCAAGTGTGCAAGACCTTGCTAAAAGCATCTCTGTTGCGGCCATTTGTGTTTGTCCTAATGGGGGAGAAGGAGTGAAAAACACACATGAAGACAAGTTAACATCTTGTGGTGCAGTTTCAAAGCTCTCTCTGTCCCGTAACAACCACCAAGCTAGTTACAGCAAATGGGACGGGGTGATCAAATAGGATTTTAATGAACATCAGTCGGGAGAGTCAGAGAAATAGAAGCAAAGACTGGTGCCTTAAAGCTACTGGCTTCTAGATTAGTTTGTATTTTTGACATTGTCAGAAAAGACACATTAAATATTCCATCACTGGAGCCTACAAAGCAAAAAAAAAACAAAAAACAGAGAGAGAGTTACAGCCACTGTCCATTTAATTAGAAAGAGGTGCAAAAGAGTGGAATCAGCTGACAAGGCGGAGTGTAGACCACAATCATATCATATGAGCACCAAATTATCGTCAAAGAAAGGATGAGAAAGAATGAGTTTCTCTCTGTAGGCTTTCCTCTGGAGCCTCTCAGTGGGAGGGAGAGTAAATAAGATGTCATCAATAATAGACAGTGAATGTTCTGAGCACTTCGGCACACACACACACACCAGCTCGGGCTGATTCTATCCTGCAGACAGGCCTGCCAACCGCCAGCCTTTTTGCACACGCTCAGATTCACTGTCCTGACTAATCGCTTGTGATAGGGGCCTTTGCCGTAATTACCCAGGGCCTTATCACAAACTTATGCGATGCATTTTTCATGTCCCTGGCTGCTGGCGGTGCCTTTACTGTCCATGCTGGCAGTCAATCTACAGGGGGAAAAAAGACTGATCTCAGACAAATTCACACACACATGCGCAGAGCGACCAGTTCAAACGGGGAGAAATGGGTGAATGCAGGGTGAAGGGCCAGAGAAGAGTGGAGAAAAATGTCCGGGAGGGGGAGGTGAGAAAGATTGGGGAAGGGGGGTATGAAGGGGGTGGAAGATAGATAGTGAGCAAAGAAAGGAGAGAGCAGTCTTAGTATTTTTTTTACATAATGCATGACCAGAGAGGCACGAGTAGGAGGACCAAATAGGATCAAATAAATAGAAGAAGTGAAGCCTTGATGATGTGGCATAAGTGCAACACAAAGCCCGCTGGGAAGACTTGCTCACTGTCCTTTTGTCTACCCAGTCAAAGGGGCATCATGACCTAAATAAAAGTTTAAATCCCAAGCATGTATAATTTAGAAAATACTGTATGAACAATTGGGCTCTGCTGCATAATGAAATCGTATGTTAATGACAACGCACTGGCCCACAAATAATCATAAATTGTAATTTGTAATTCAGCAATGCACGTTAAATGCCACGGGAAACACAGTCCCATTGTCTACATGTCTTGTGATAGGTCAAACACGCTCCTAATATACACAAGGCTATATTCACTCGCACTGAATGGGCCCAATATTATTCATACTCTGTGCTTTAGGAAGGTGTACGTCAAATTGTTGATAAGTTTGAGACGGTAAAAATGTAGTAAATTACATTAAAGATGACGATCAATATACTATTTTACTTTTTCAACCAATTATGTAGCTACGTCTTACAATGCGTCCCGTCGGCGTTCAAAGACGTGGCAATGACCGTAAAAACATCGTAAAGGAAGCCAGGCGACCGCTTTCATCAATTAACAATCGCAAACTGCTCCAACATAAAGTGTCTCAAAACGCTTAGCCGATAATGTTGCTAATGTTTCTATTCTCCCCTTACTTAAACCAACAATTTGGCAGTAAAAAGGCAGTAAAAACCCCAACAGAGCGCAGTTGTGTGTCTGCGCTTGTCACCACAGCGCCACCGTAAATGAGTCGCACTTATTTTTCCCCCAAATTATCCTTCCTTCCAGCGGCTAAAGCGTCGGGCTAACTACGGTAGGCTACTCGCTTTACTGAAAGTTGAAGAGCACGCAATAAACATACAAAGTCGGAAGGTTTAGCCAAAAGCCCTGATGTTTTGTTTTTATTTCAGCGCATCCCCACCGCGTCGCTCCGGCTTGCCCAGTTGCAGTGTCCGATCGATGTAGAATTGAACAAAGAGGATCAATTTCTGATCAGCGAGAGAGCCACTTTCATCAATGTGAGGAAGAGGTCTTGAAATCTCTTCCGAAACAGCAACGCCACGGCCACCGAATACCCACGAAACGCAGCCTCCAAAAGAGACTAAACGAGTGGAGCGCCATAGGTAAACCGATTTAAAAAGAGGTTACACTGACCTGTAGTTGTTGTAAGTCAAAGCGCTTCCAATATTGAAACATCGATCCTGCA